GAGTACTGACTGGTAAAGGATCTCGGGTCCTACAGTAGAGTTTGCTGAGGACTGTGCTGTTGGTTCTAAACACAGTCTAACAGGCCCTGCTCCTTGGAGACTGGTTGAAAGCTGACTATAGTAATGACTGTGTCCCCAGAGCTGAATGCTGGTTACAGACTTGATGGCCAGACAGTATTGTGCATGTGAAAAGGGTGGGCTCCCTGCCCAACTGATCTGGCTGAACCTCAGTCCCTCCTTGGGCGGCTGCTGGAGGACACCGAATGTGTTGTAGCCCAGTTTTCTCCTCAGTAGAAAGAGGAAGCACCAAGGCCGCTCCATAGTGACTCTACAGTGAATGCCTCAATGGTGGGCAGGGACTGCCTGTGATAACTCTGTGGCTAGTGAGCACTGTTACAGAGCAGCAGGGACTGGCAGGCTGATGAACTCTCGAGGCTCTAGAGGGGAACCAAGACATAGATGGTAAGCTGGGTTTGGCCCCCTCACTCTTTGCCCTGCTGATAAGATGTCACAGCTGAAATGGGAGTAGAAGAGTCGGACTTCGGGTGGAGGATCAGGGTCAGCAGATGGGGAGAGCTTAGGGCAGTAGTCTCCAAGCGTCTAGCCTGCTCTGGGCAGGAGAATGGGAAGAGCTGGATGGCCCCAGGGAAGCCAGAGGGAGCTGAAGCAGGTTTAAAGAAAGATCAGCCCAGAAGTGCTGAGCAGTTATTGTAAGGAAGAGGCTTTGGAGGTAAAGATTAGTTTGGAGCCTGTGGCAGAGCAGTGATACATGGATCGTGCTCCTAAGAGATGTGGGAACACTCTCTGGATGAAACATGAGGGTTGGACAGCCAAGTCAGGGCCACCCATAGGTGTGAGCTGGCCCTCTGGGTTGTTGGGAGAGACTTTGAGAAGTTGATGGAAATGGTGAATAGAGGGAAGGGTGCCTGGTTTAGGGGAGAGAGAAACTGGAGATGGGGTACCCAGAGTGCAGGTGAGATTCAGCAGGTTTAGGAGGGCTGTCCATAGCACATAGGCTGGGTCATGAAAGGAAGATAAGGAGTCTGTTAAGATTAGGCCTCTGCAGTCCAGTCTCTGCTGGTGGGTGCCTAGCCAGCTCTTTTGCCCAGGAGTGGGCAAGCCTGGTTGGTATCTGAGGTGGGTATCTGAACTTATCTGGCACTCTTGAGGGCTCTACACCTGGCACAGTGAACTCCTACAATGCCACATTTGGGGGCCCTGCCTACAGGCAAGGTGTGGGGGGCAGGTGGAGTTTTTCAGTATGTCTGCAGAGTAGTGGGTTGTGTAAATGTTTATATACAGGTGGCAGTTTCCCTTCATGTAGCCCCATCCTGATTCTTTTATCCCCCTCAATGTGTCCATGCTTCTGTTTGCAAACTTGTGTTTGTGGACTTCTGTTCACATTGATGTGGAGCCTCTTCTGGAAAGCCACACCCTGGGGCTGTGCTCTGGGCTCAGCTGGGTTCAGAGTCCTTTGATGTGTACCTAGATGGAGGCCTGGCAAGGGTGATAGGCAGCATTTGTAATCATAAACTGTGAAGGTGTTGGAATTATCATGACCCAGTGCCTGCCTAGCACCTTTAGAAATTGTTTCCATTCTCATCACATCCTTCTGACTCATGAGACAGTAGCGACAGATGAGAGGTAGAAGGAGAAAGGTTGAAAAAGTTGCCAGCAAAAGTCAGGCTGGGATTGAAATCTAGAAATATTGACTGTAAAGTCCTGCTTCCCCTTCATGCTGGGAGGAATGTCCAATTCCCAACCCTTGTATTGCTTAGAAAGAGTGAAAACTGAGGCTGGCAAGATGGCTCAGCAGGTAAAGCACTTGCAGTGCAAACTTGGTGACCTGAGTTTGATCTCCGGAACACATGTAAAGGTGAAAGGAGAGAACCAGTTCCACCAAGATGTCCTCTGTCCACTTACCACACCAAGGCATTCATCATACACACGTCATCATCATACTAATAAAGTTTTTTAAAAAGTGAAAACCGGTTGAGAGGTGGTTGAGAGGTGTTGTTCAGTAGTACAGCACTTTCCTAGCATGGTGGTTATCTTGATCATCACCCAGATGGAATCTAGAATCACCACAGAAAGAAATCTCCCAGCACGTCTGTGAGAGATTATCTAGATGAGGTTAATTGGTCTGGGAAGACACACCCTAAATGTGAATGATACCATTCCATGAGGTGTGGTCCCAGACTGAATCCAGAGAAGGCAAGCTGAGCACCAGCAGCCCCTGCTGCTGCCCTCTCTGCCATGACCCACTGACTCCCCTGGAACTCTGAGCCAAAGTGCTTCCTCAAGTATATACCTTTTGTCAGGTATTTTTTTCGTGCATTGACATGGCTAATGCTTCTAGTTTTCATGAATGTAGTGCAGACAGAGGGCCCATAGACGTTCCCTTCTGTGACTTCTGGGGATCAGGCGAGCAGATCCGTGCTTGCATCTTCCTGTTGTCTCCTATGGGAGGCCGGGGGGACCCATACTTGGATCCACAGCTGGACTTATTCTAGGAAAGGAAAACTAGAGCAGGTCAACCAATATTTGCTCATTAAGCAGCAGGATTAAGAAGGTTTCCAAGGCAACAAGCAGGAGCCTTTGCTGTCAGGGGTAGGTAGGGCAGGTCCAGCTTCCTCTAACACTTGCAGATAGAACACTGTAGGTTGCTACAGTAATAACTTCTTGTATTATCGGTGGATGTGGGGAATCTGTAAGAAACTGAGGGATTTCAACACTCCTTGTAGTGTGATGTTGGACTGGAAATCACTGGCAAGTAAGTATTGGCTGGTGATGGTGAGGGCAGGGATGGGAGCTGGGCGCACAGAGCCCCATCACAGAGCCGCGCTGGATTCAGTAGCAATAGCTGCTTGTCTTGGAGTAGTGCATCCCAGGATTTCAGGAGTCTCCCCTAACCATCTCATTACTCCCAAGAGGCAGGGTGACTGGTATTTGGTGCTCAGGAGCTTGCAGAATGTTTTTAGGGTGCTTGTCAGGACCATATAGCTATGCAAGGGGGCTAGCATGTCCCATTTCCCAGGTAAGGGACCTGAGGTTAAGGGACTTGATGGAGGTCACACAGTAATGTGGAATCAAAGCATGAACCTAGGTCACCTGTCCCTGGTTCTGCTTTTCTCTGAGTCCTGTGGTGGGCCAGGGGGCATGAACTGGTTAGAGCTGACAGGTGCAGGAGCGCCAGCCCTACTCTACACTGCCTCATGGTCTACGAAAGGCTGCATGGTGCTTTCTGGCTTTCCTTTCTCCAGTTTGTTCAGGATAGAACCTCTGGCTGTTCAAAGCTTTATTTTGTACTACACAGCCCTGGCAGAGGTTGTGGAGTGACAGTCATGGGCACTGCTGCTGGTGTTTGTTGTGAACAGACCCTAAGCCCTGTTCAGCACCCTGTGACCTCTCCCTGAGTTCTGTGGCCTCCTACTGGAGTATGGCCAGAAATAATACTTGCCTTTGGCCTAAATCCACAGGCCCTAATCTGGCTTTGCATCTCACTATCTGTACCAGATCATGGCTCCTTGTTCAAAGCATGTGGAATGGTTTTGTTAAGATAAAAAGCCATGAAGACAAGGCCAGACAAGCAACAGGGCCGGATGGCCAGGGGTAGACTACAAGGTGAGGCATGATCCTGCTCCTTAGCCTGTGTTCCTCCCCCATCCCCACTCAGCATGTGGTGTGTCATGTCTTGGGCTCCCTCCCCACAGCTCCCAGCTTTTCAGTGATCTGTCATTCCCATATGTGTGGTCAGCAAAGGACATGTGTCAGTTTCAGGTTACAGACAGCCTCTAGGGAATGGGAATGTGCCCCTAGATCTGGACTTGTAGTTTCCCCTGAGGGAGAAGACAGGCCTGGCTCAGGCCCGAGACACTTTCCCTTCAGGAAGTCTGGGAGTGAGGCCAGGGCCTATGACTTACCTGGGGTTCACACTTCTCCCTCCATGTGTGGCCTTTAAAAGCTTGTGACCTGACCTTTGCAGGTGACTGTAAAGGAGAAAACTACAGACCAGGCAAAATTTTAAAATGGGGGAAAAAAGAAAAAAGCAGGCCTTTTCCCTTCTTGGTGCAGGCAGCAGGGATTCATTTTCTCCTGTGCAGAGACTCAGCCTGGTTCCTGTGCTTTCTCACTGTGCTCCCTGTCTGATCACCTCTGAGGTGACAGCATCACCCCACAGGACCTGTTTCCTGGTTGTACCTGTGCTGCATGTGCAGCTGCCTGCTTGCCAGCCACCACCACCACCACCACCCCGCCCCTGCCACTAGAATCCGCAGTGCCTCCCACAAGTACCCTGACACTCCCTCCCAGCATGAGCACCCCTCTGGCCTTCACCCCTAGAGCTGCCCTCCCACTTTGCCAATCCTCACCTCCTTACTGCCTTACCTATGTTAACAATAACTTGTGGGTTTTTTTTTTTTTTTCTTGTGTGTGTGTGTGTGTGTGTGTGTGTGTGTGTGTGTGTGTGTGTGTTTTGTTTTAATGTGTGTGTGTGTGTGTGTGTGTGTGTGTTTTGTTTTAAAACAGGGCCTTCTTGTAGCCCTAGCTGGCCTGTAATTCATGATGTAGACCAGGCTGGCCTCCATCTCCAGAACTCTACCAGCCTCTACCTCTTGAGTACTGAGACTAAAGGTGTGTGCTACCACACCCAGCTCTTGTGAGTTTCTTTTAAAAAGCAAACTAAGTTCCATGAGAAGAAAGATTTTTGTGTGTGTGGTGTTGTTTTTGTTTTTGTTTTTTTTACATGTGCCTGATGGACCAGGCTAGTTGTCAAAATGCAACAAATGTTTACTTCCCTCTGCCCCTTGAGGTGGGACATACATGAGTCTTGGCTTGTAGCAGTTGCTCAATAAACATTTATTTTGTAAGGGGATGAAGAAATGAAGGAAAGCTTGAGCAAGTGGAAGGAGGGGCAGCTCTCCTGTCCTCTCACTTTGTTGGACTCGTCCACCGTCTGACTGACCCGCTCTCCCTTTCTTCCATCCTTTTTTTTGGGACAGGCTGTTTCTGAACTGCCTGTGAACAGGTCTGGGAAGACAAAGGTAAGTACCCAGGGGCTCACCCTTCCTCACCATCATCCCCCAGCCCTCCCCTGAGCAGTCCACTCTACCTTCCTCAAGGAAGCACCCAGCATTTCTCTGTCATCTGGTCATGGGACATCTGGATCAGGACCTTGGTGCCAAGGGACTTTCCTCAGCCCTCTAGAAACCAGAAGCCCAAGGACTCTGGTCTCCAAATAATGTGTCACCAGCCCCTGCTTTCTTCCTCTGTGACATCCCTGGTGGTTGCAGTCACACTGAGATACTGTCTGTATGTTGGCTGGTTGATGGGAATTAGGTGCTACTAGCCACAGAGGCCCAGGCCACAGGGCCACCTAAGATGACCGCTCTGTAATGGGCACAGTGATTCCCCCCTACCCCTTCAAAATGGTGACCCTGAATAAACTTGTTGCTTTCAGCTTCTCTGGTTGACTCTGAGAGCAGGTGATGTCTGACTTGTGAGGGACTGGCTGGGGAGCCACCCTCCAGGCAGGAGGCAGGAACAGCAGGGGCCGGGGTAAGCAGTGCACTTCCTTGTGTGGGCTTGTGAAGACCGCTTCTCTGCCCTTATAAAGAAATGCTTGGTCCTCCTCACACTCCTGTGCTGGGCTGAACAGGTAGATCAAAGGAAAATATCCGAAGGCTGTCCTAGGGATCTTGACTGTTCAGGGCTCTGGTGCATGGGGCCTCCTTGTGGAGGTCCCAGCACTGCTGGGGTTGCTTGAGGGGGCGCTGCCGACTGGCTGTTTATGTGTGGCTAGCCAGCCACCATTGTTGGCCTCCAATGCCTGCTGCACTTGGCCTGAATGCAGGAACAGCATGCACTCTGCTGGGTGGGGCTGGGCTGGGTGATGCAGCTGTGGCCCAGCAGGTTCTTGGCTGGGCCTCACTGGAGGCCTTCGTGATCCTGTGTAGTTCCTGTGGTGTCATAATCTTTGACTGGCTTTTGTTCTTGTGCTGCATGGTGCTTTGCCTGCATTGTGTCACTGGATCTGTGAGGGAGGTATTCTCATTGGATCTGTCCTACAGATGAGGAACCTGAGGCTCTGGAAGCTTCCATTTGCGTGAGGACATACCTGACAAGGACTGGTCTTGTGCAGGGCCTGCATTACTGAAGCCTGTGTTCCATGTCTTTGGTTTAAAAAATTATTTTTATTTTTAGACAGGGTCTCATGTAGCCTAGACTAGACTCACTATGTTGTCCATTCTGGGCTTGAGCTCCTTGATCCTCTTGCCTCTACCTATGTGGAATGCTGGGATTACACATGTGTACCACCATGCCTTTATACTGTGCCAGGGATTGGACATGCTGGATAGGCACTCTACAAACTGAGCTACACCCCAACCTTCTAGTGTTTTTTTGTTTTTTGTTTTTATTTTATGTGTATGAGTCTTAGCCTGCATTATGTAAGTGCATCTGTGCAGTGCCCATGGAGGACAGAAGAAAGTTGGATCCCCAAGAACTGGAGTTACGGACTGTTATTAGCCCTCATGTGGGTGCTGCGATTCAAACCTGGGTCTTCTGTAAGAGCAGTCAGTGCTTTTAACTGCTGAGCCATCTCTCTAGCCATCCTTCTAGTCTTTTTTAGAGCTTTTTGAGAGTCTCATAGGGTCCACACTGGTCTTGAACTTGCTGTGTAGCCAAAGCTGGCTTTGAACTCCTGATCGTGTCTCCATCTCCCACGTGCTGGGCTTGTAGGTGTGTACCACTATGCCTGCTGAGTCTCAGGATGAGTCTCAGGATCTTCAGAGTGCTGCTCCTGCTTGTGGCAGGTGCACTTGGGGTGTGGTGGCACAGCAGTGTGTCTCTCCAGAGCTCTGTTGTGTCTCGGAGTCTTTGTTGGCCCCTGCTCCTCTTCTGTGGCTTCTAGACTGGAGGTTTTGGAGCAGCAGTCAGGTACAGACAGAGTGCAGGCTGGGATTTGGGCTCCCTTTCTTTTGGCCTTCTCTTTGTGAAGAATTTCTTCATAGAATCTCTTTCCTTCTGTTACCTTCTAGGGGGTCTTGATTGGGTTCATTTTCTTTGCCAGTTAAAGAACTAAAAGGCAGAAAAAAAATCTCAGACACAGCAGAAAGCAACAGGTAACAAATTTTATTAAAAGTGAAGAAACACACACATATGTACTCATACAGAGAGAAGAGTTCTCCACAAGTGGAGAGAGGACCCAGAGCCCCAGGAGGGCTTGGGCCTTTTAAGTGTTTTTGGTGGTGTGGGGCAGGTTCCCTGCCCTTAATTTTGGTTGATCAGCTTAAAGATGAGAGAGCTGATAGGTCATAGCTCCAAGTTTTGTGCAGGACTGGCCTTGGTCTTATGTAAACTGGTCTGAACCTGTCAGCTAAAAGAGGGGCAGGAAGAGCTGTCTCCCTGTGGTGGGAGAAAAAGCCTTCGGGCCTTGTGTCAGGAGAAGAAGAAACCAGAAGTGTGCCATTTTTACTGCTCAGTGGCCCTGTCTACTTATCAGGGATTAGTCCCTTACATTTCCTTCTTCCTTCTTTCTCACCTTGTGTGTATGTGTGTGTATGCATGCCCACATGTATGTTGGTACAAATGTGTGCATGTGTGTGTAGGCCTGAGGTTGATGCCTGGTCTTCCTTGATCACTCTCCACTGTATTCTTTGAGGCAGGGTCTCTCAGTTAATCCAGAGCTCACCATTATGGCTAATCTGGTAAGTCAGCTTGCTCTTGGATCCCCTGATCTAGCTTGAGAGTGCTGCCATGCCCACCCTTCATTTAGATGGGTTCTGGGGATCCAAGAGCCTAGGCCAGACAGTGTAGGCCACACTGTAGATGCTTAGAAGCCATTGGCCCCTTCATGACATGACAGGTATGGAACCATCCTCTTTCTTGGATCTGGCCCTGGACCAGCAGCATTCATGTACTTAGGAGAGACTATATGTTTCTGGACCCTGTCCTGGCCTACTGGCACTGAAGCATGGGTGGATGGGCACCTACCTCACGATGAAGTCGTCCTTGCTTAGAGACTGGGCAGTGTGCATCCCACAGTAGACAATGGCTAGTGGTGTCACCCTGCTTGGGTAGTGCTTCATTAGAAGGGTGACCATATATGTCATTTGTTGCTTCAGCTAGGATACTTGGAACATAAAAGGAGACATTCCAGGCACAAACCAGGATCAGAACCTTCCTGGAAAAGGGAGCTTACTATCACCACTCAACACTTTCTCATTGACCTAGGAAATGGCCCTAGGGGATGCCATCCCCTTCCCATTACAGATGGGGAGACTGAGTCCCAGAGAAGGCTACTTCTGTCTGTCATCCTGGCTCTTAATTCCCTTCTTAGGCTTCTAATTCCTCTTAATGTCTTCTTGGCCGAGTCATCAGCGTGGTCCCCTCAGGCGAGTGCTGGCAATGAGAGTGGCAGGCCGTTGATCTCTGGGAGACTGGAGTCTTCTGGGAACTAGCAACCTTCATAATGAGAGCACCGAACATTAATGCTCTGAAACATAGATCTAGAAAGGTTGCCTCTGGACTACTCCCCCAGGCCTGGCTATGACCTGTTACACAGATGACGATGGCCCTTGAGACAGTGACAGGGAGAGGACTGCTGACACCTGCCCTGTGGGAGCAGACCTCCTGTCCTGGCCGGGTGATGCCTTTTCTTCCTGACTGATAGAGAGGCCAGTTTGGTGATTTCTTTTTTTCTGTGCTGATGAGGACACGTGTGACAGTTTGCTTCTGCGACATGTGGAGGGGGCTGTGGTTGCAGAGACTACTCAGGGAAGTCTGGGTTATTAGTGTGCTAAATATAGCAAACAGGCACAATTAGGCCCGTCATGTTGAGGCCCACAAGGCTCTCTGGAACGGGGGAGGGGGTATCGTTCAGGTTCTGACAGAAATAGACCTGTGCCAGGCCTGAGGCCAAGTTTAATCTCCATCCCTGAACCCTGGCTCTCTTGCTGTTTCCTGTCAGCTCCTCTGGGAGCACCATGTAGTGCTCTGGCTGCCAAGTGGCTGTCACAGACCCTGCATCTCAGGGTGTGGGAGGAAGGGCTGTGCTTGCAGGACCCTCACACCCTGATCCCCCCTGTGGAGTGATGTCACCCTTGGCTCAGGGTGCCTTTCCCTCAGACTGCCCCTTTCTCACTTGGTATTGCCCTGTGTTCACAGGAAAAGATGGAGACACTGAAAGACAGGACTCTGCAGGAGTTGGAGGAGTTGCAGAATGACCTAGAAGCCATCGGCCGACTGGCCCTGGAGTCCCCTGAGGTATGGGAGGGCTGACAAACGCTGCATCTTTTTTTTTTTGTTAAAGTAATTCATCATTGGTCACTTAAGGAGTTTAAAAAAATTTATTTTATGTGTATGAGTGTTTTGTCTGCATGGCCGTGAGGTGTACCCTTGTCATTCAATGCCTGCAGATTCTAGAAGGTGGCATCGGATCACCTGGAACTGGAGACAGATGGTTGTTAGCCACCATGTAGGTGCTGGGAATTAAACCCTGGATCTTTGCAAGAGTATCCAGTGTTCTTAACCACTGAACCATTTCTCTAGCCACAAGTCATAAGTCACCTTGTCTGGGATCTAGCTCATCCCCTTCCATCCTGTTTCCTAGTACAGCTGGCACAGGATCTCTCAGCTCCTAGTTACTGGGTCCTTACAGAAATAGACACCACCCTGCTGTCTGTACTGAGCTTGATTCAGCTCTCCCTGCCCCTATCTTCTGTGACCCTGTGACCTTCCTGCAAGATAGGGAGGTCAGGCAACTGGATGTGGCTGTCTGGCCAGAAAAACCCATAATCACCCCAGAGTGGCTGCAGCTGGTCATTGCCCCAGTTGTGAGGGAGAGATAATGCCAGGCTTGTCTGATTGGCACTTGCTGTGTACTGTTCTTTTCCCTGGTGAGCAGATGTGGTGTGTCTCTTCTACAAATTCAGTGTGTTAGAGAATATGAAGCTGTCCATCCAGTGCATCCCTGTCAGCCTTCCCAGAGCCTTTCCCTTGCTGCAGGGATCACAGGGCCACGTGAGTCTGTCCTTGTCCCTGCTGTGCTTCCTGCTAGTACCTGTTACCCTACCCAAGTGAGGCCTCTTTCCTGGCTTGAAATGACCTCCTGGTAGGCAGGGATCGAGGACAGGTCCTGCTTCCTAAGGTAGGATGGGAGCAAAAGTTGTTTTGGTTGGGGGCCACTGCCAGCTCCCACGGTTAGCTATGCTGTGAGCCCTGGCAGGCCTTGTGTCCCTAGCACAGGGTCTTCTTCACTCATCTGTCACGTACAAGTTCGAGTGTCCCTTACACCACCCAGATGCTTGGGATCAGAGTATTTCAGATTTTAGTTTCTTAGATTTTGGAATATTTGCATAAATTCACTAAATACCCCTAACCCAAAAATGTGAAATCTGAGATACTCTGAAACCCAGAACTTTGTGAGTGTCATGCAGGTACTTGAAAGAGTTTTACATTTCAGATCCTAGATTGTTGTCACTGGGCCTTATTGATCAGAGACTTAAGGGGAAATTCCAGGGCTTGTTCCTGAAGGGACTGGAGCTGGGCAAAGGCAAGCCTGTACCTGATTCTCATTCACTGCTTCCAAGCTGAGCAGGCCAGTGGGACCTAGGAGAAAGCACAAGCTCATGGAAAACGTAAGCAGACGCAGCCTCTCCAACAACGGGCAGCTCAAATTTTGTCATGTGCAGCCATGCCTGCCCAATTGAACAGAATGCTCTGCGGGGAAAACGCTCAGTGTGGATTGGGCAGAAACAAAGTAGGGCAAGCTTTCAAAAAATCTTTTGCTTGCTTTCCTGTCATGGATCGTAAAGCAGTAATTGAGTCACTGTGGGACTGGGAGAAGAGTTTATAGAAGAGAAAGATGGTGGAGATGTTTTGTAGAGAGCGTAGTACAGGGGCCACAGGATGTGGGAGCTCTTTTGAAGAACTTGGACTGATCTCATGTGAGTGATTTACAAGAGATGGACTTCAGGTTATAGGGAGAAGGAATGGAAACTTGAGAGAGAACTATACAGCGTAGATGTAGTGGTTCAGACCCATGAAAAGGGTATTGGACATGTAAGGACACCTAAGGGTGTGTGGGGCCCAGGACGGGGTGGGTGACTGAGCAGGAGGGCTGCAGACCCCACTCCAAGTTGACCATGAAATAAACATGAGTGTCCCTGGTTAATTTTAAAAATATTTTATTTCTTATATTTACTCGTGTGTGTGTGTGTGTGTGTGTGTGTGTGTGTACACATGTGAGTGCGGTGCCTGTGGAGTCCAGGAAAGGGCATTGTATCTCTGGAGCTTCAATTAGAGTTGAAGAGTTCAATTAGGGTTCAATTAACTCTGGAGTTAATTAGCAGTTGCCCCTGCCCCAAGCTGACACTGAAACTCACCAGGGTCTGCTACCATGTCCATGAGCTAAACAGGGCATTGCTGGCAGCAGAGAAAGCCAGGTGGAGAGGCTCTGAGCTGGGCACACCCTGGGCCTTGCAGTCCCTGGGCCCTGGCAGTCTTGTTTGTGGAGGGGGTAACTGGCAGCATCTTTCTAGCAGGCTGCTGTCTGCCTTAGGATGCAGGGCTTAAGGCTTTGAGCAGGGATCTGAGCAGGGCAGCCCTTCTGGAAGCCCCTTCTGTAGGATGGCTCCTGGCTTCCTGTGGCTGCTGGAGGATGAGCCTGTCTGGTTGTGTGTGCCATGTGCTGGCCAAGGTGGAGAAGCTGCACGTGCAGGGCCCTCATGGCAGCTGGTCTTGCTGAGCTGTGCCCTGATCTCTGTGGTGTGTGCTGAGCTCCCCTTTTTGGTGTCACATGGCACTGTGAGTGTGTGTGGTCCCTTCTGTGTCGGGTGGTGGTCCTGAGTCTCCAGCCCTCTTTTGGTTGAAGCAAACTCCTTGACCCACTCTCTGGGCCTGCTGGGAAAGGTTCTGAGGCTTCTGCCTGCCTGGCTGATGGTTCAGTGCTGCTGGCTAGGAAAGCGTTTTCAGCAGAAGGCATTCAGGGACCGTCCAAGGTCACTCATCTACAGCTCTGTAGGATGCATGTGGTCTGGAAGGTGAGGGTGAGTGTCCTGTCCCAGTGTCTCAGGCTGCCCCAGGGCCCAGGCCCCCTTCCCTGTCAGAACAACCTTTGAGGCCTCATGGCATTGTGGCATTGTGGTCTGATCTGGGCCATCAGGGCTCTCCCTAGCAGTCTTTGTGTATGTGCATGTGTGCATGTGTTTGCATGCCTTCTTGACTTCGAAGCTTGGGAAACAGTGACTAGGACTCTGGATCCCATCCTTTCTGTACAAGTCGACTCTCATTGGTGTCTTGCACATTTCTGGTGCTTGTCTATCAGGAGGCCTTGGGCAGGTGATTAGCCTTGGTGCCACTCTCTGACGTGTCCACCTCACAGGCCCTTGATCAGGTTGAGGTGAGGCACTTGGGTCTCTGTGCCTTACCTCAACCTGATCAAGGGCCTGTGAGGTCTCTTGTATGGGATTTGAACCTAGGTTTGTGTGACCGTGGTTGAAGGCTGAGTACCCCTCAGGTTTCCTCAGGTAAGCTGAGTCCAGAAGCCTCTGGTCTATCCTGGCAGGGGGTGACCAGTGACAGTGTTCTTACTGTCAGTTGTCCTGTCCTTAGGTCCAGGACCTGCAGCTCGAACGAGAGATGGCACTGGCCACCAACCGGAGCCTGGCCGAGCAGAACCTGGAGTTCCAGGGTCCCCTGGAGATCAGCCGCTCCAACCTCTCAGACAAATACCAGGAACTGCGGAAGCTTGTGGAGCGGTGCCAGGAGCAGAAGGCCAAGCTGGGTATGGGCAACTGACCATGGGTGTGCTCCCTGGGCAGCTCCCCTGCTGATTTGACACAGGGTTCCTGTTCCCCGCTTCCTAGTGGGGCTAGGAAGCAGCTGGGATAGCATGGAAGTGTAGATGTCTGGAATAGGAGAGGGCCTCTTTGTAATCCCATGTGTCCTGGAACTCACTATGTAGACCAGGCTGGCCTTGAACTCACAGAGATCTACTTGCCTCTGCCTCCTGATTAAAGGCATGTGCCACATCTGGCTGAAGTTACTCTTTTTACAGATGAGAAAATCCAGGGCGGGGGATGGGGGAGGATGAGGGCTTGCCCAAGGTTGCACAGCTAATGTTAGGTGGAGATGGGATTTGAATCCAGGCAGCTGGTGTCTTGCTGCTGCACCAACTCAGCCTGCTCAGCCCAAGCCTTGCAGAGCTGGCCCAGGCTATGTGAAGGTGACAGGGTTTCCTGGACAGCTGTACCACTCAGGGTTGGGATGGGGTCTTTTCCCTTTCCTTGCTGGCCTAGGGGGAGCTGCTTGGTGAAGACCTGGGCTCTGTTCTTGGGCTCCTCTCTACTCAGGCAGCGGATTGTCTAACAGAACCAAGAAGACTCCACAGTGGGCCCTGGTGCAGTGGCTTGGCCCTGTGCATATGGAGCATGCTGCCAAGCCTTTCCTGAAACCTGGCTCTTCAGCTTTGACTACAGCAGTGCTCTCGAATTGTCAACCTTTCTGCTCTTCTTTCCAGAGAAATTTTCTTCAGCACTGCAGCCGGGGACCTTGTTGGACCTTTTGCAGATTGAAGGCATGAAGATTGAGGAGGAGTCTGAGGTGAGGTGGAACCCTACTCCCTTGAACAGGGTGGCAGCTCCTGGAGCAGGGCCCTGGTTGTGAGCCCAGGCACCACAGAGCACAAGGGCTTGGAATGTGGCCGAGTTAGATGGCACCTGGGCACCGGAGTTAGATGGCACCTGGGCACCAGTGGCGGCACTTTGGCTATAGTACAGCAGAGCCTCCTTATCCACAGGGACACATTCTGAGATCCCCGGGAGGGCCTGAAACAGCAGGTAGTACCATGTAGGCAGTGCTGTGTTTTTCCTATACAGATCTAGGTCTAATTTTTGTTTTCTTTTTTTCTTTTTTTTCTTTTTGGTCTTTTTGAGACAGGGTCTCCCTGTAGCCCCAGCTGGCCTGGATTCGCTATGGAGACCAGGCTGGCCTCCAACTCACAGAGATCCGCCTGCCTCTGCCTCCCGAGTGCTGGGATTAAAGGCATGCACCATCATGCTTGGCTAATAAAGTCTAATTGTTAAAGCAGGTTCAGTAAGAGATTAAGAACAGTAACTAGGGCTGGGGAGATGCTCAGGAAAAGTGCTTGCTGCCCAAGCATGAGGACCTGATTCTGATCCACCACACCCATGTAAAAAGTCATGTTGGGTGGCATGCACTTGTAGTCCCAGCACTGGGGAGGTACAGACTGATAGGTAATTTGAGTCAAATCGGGAGAAAGCACCAGGACACAAAAACTCTGGCGGGATAGTTGATTAGCAGAGGAAAACGCATGGGACAATTCCCCTTTCTGGATAGAGGAGCTGTTGCTTCATAGCCTGGGGTTTTTATAGGGGGCTTCGGGGGATGCGGAAGGTGGGAAAATATTTTTTAAAAAGTTAGGCAGGAGAGAGAGAGCCCAGGGCTTATCAGGAGAGAATAGCCTCTGTCAAACTGTCCCCTTCCATCCTCTTCTATCAGCCAGGTCTGGGTTATGGGATAAGGTTTCTATACATTGTGAACTTATCAGGGGAAATAGCTTGTATGGAGACAGTGCCTACATCTGTGAATCTGGGGTGCAGAGGCCTGTTTGTCTTTTAAGATTATCAAAGGGGAAGCAGGTTGTGCCCAAACGGCTCTTTGCAGTAGGTATCAGGTCAAAAGGTGTGTAAAGGGTCTGTTTATCTTGTCTTGCAGATGGTCACAGTGCTCATTAACTCACTTCCTGCATTCTTAGGGGGCCTGCAAAACTGTGAGGCCCTGCTGCTTTGGGGGTTGCTGTAGATCTGAACCCTAACACAGTCAGTCAGACAGATCCCTGGGGCTTGCTGTCCAGTCTAGCTGAATTGGTGAGCCTCAGGTGGAGACCCTGTCTCAAGAAATAAGGTGATAGCCCCGGAGGAATGATACCTACAATTGACCTCTGGCCTCCATATGCACACAAGTGCACACGCATGTGTATTTACATATGCAAATACACACACAAACAGTAACTAAGAATAGGTATAACAATATTTTCTAATTAAAGTTATTTAAAACTCATAAATTATTTCTAGCATTTTCTATGCATTGTTTTGAGACCACAGTAGACCTCCAGTAACTGAAACCATGGATAAGGGGGCAGTACTATATCAGGATCCTAGTTGAATCAGGAAAGGGTGGTGAGGTGGCACCCCAGCATGTGAGGCCAGGCTCCTGCTCCTCGGTCTTCCCTCTTGTCCCCTTCCTGTTGCCTCTGTGGACAGAGACTTCTTTGTGTTTTGGGTTGAGGCAGCTTGAAAGTTTGCCCAGTCCTAAATGGGCAGCACCCAAGTCATTTCCATAGGCCTGGATGGCCAATATACATGCAATGGCTGCAGGGGGCTGGCACAATGTTGGTCAGGGGACAGGTGACCATTGCAGACATAGCTCTGCTGTGAAGGAGCTGACATTCTAGGGAGAGACAGAGATGAACAGATAGGTGCATACAGGTCAACAGAGAGGGCCATGGAGGAAAAACTCCCAGATCAGGCCAGGAAAAGCTTCAGAAGGCCCCCATCCCAGCTGGTTCCTGTTGTCACCACACCTTGTATCTTCTAGGCCATGGCTGAGAAGTTCCTGGAGGGTCAGGTGCCCTTGGAAACCTTCCTAGAGGCCTTTTCCTCCATGAGGACTCTGTCCCACCTGCGCCGGGTCCGCGTGGAAAAGCTCCAGGATGTGGTGAGGAGGCCCCACGCTTCGCAGGAGCTGACCGGCGATGCCCCTCCACCACGCCCACCGCCTCCCCGCCCAGCACCCCAGGCGATACCTCCTGTGGCCGAAGAGCAGCCACCAAAGCCCTCTGTCATCCCTCCCTACCCTTTGCCCTACAGCCCAACCCCAGGCCTACCTGTAGGTCCCACAGCCCAAGGAGCCCTGCAGCCAGCTCCCTTCCCCATGGTGGCCCAGCCTTCTTCCTATGGTGGGCCTCTGGGTCCCCCTTACCCATCATCTCAACCAGGACCCAGGGCTGCTGCGGGTTACTCCTGGTCCCCACAGAGGAGTGTGCCATCCCGGCCTGGCTATCCTGTAACCCCAACTGGTGCCTCTGGTCCAGGATACCCCTTGGCAGGAGGCCGAGCCCCTAGTCCTGGTTATCCCCAACAGTCCCCCTACCTCCCAACAGCAGTAAAACCTCCGTACCCAACACAACCCCAGCTCCCAGGCTTCCCAGGACAACCACATCCCTCACAGCCCCCATACCCTCCCGGGCCAGTCCCTCCCTCTGGCTTTCCCCCTCTGGGACCCGCCTGGCCTAGGTATTAGCCCGGATCTCTGCCCACCTGAGACCTTCCACCTGTACCACAGCCCTTGGCCGACCATCACTGAGATTCGAGGTTACACTGGAAGTGGAGCTTGTACTCTGCAGACTTCGGGGAGCGGTACCACACAGAAGCCTTGAACATCTTGCCAGGAGCACACAGGCCCCCTGAAAGGTCCTGGGCAGTGCAGTGTGGGTCCTTCTGGGAGCTGTTCCTGCCAGGACTGGCTCAGTGCATCCTGAGTTGGTCTGGTGGGAGCCCAGGGCTCTCTGGTGTCTGCATGAGCATGCATGTGCATGTTTGTGCACAACTACCTTGCTTGCTCCCGGGACATCTGAACCAGTGAAGAGTGATCTTGGTGACAAAGTGGCCCTGGGTCTTGGGCCCCTGCCTGCCCGGCCTCTCTCTTGGAACTTGGTGTATTTGATGCATAGCCACATGCCAAGAGATATAGCTCTGTGTCTATCCATTTAAGGACTGTCTGTCCCACTGGATCGAAGGAGAGAACAGAGTTAGGAAAAATAGGGACTTTGAGTCCTAAAAGCCATAATTTAATTCTGCTGGGCCAATGTCAGGCAAGTATGTCCTATGTGCTGGTTTGAACCACAGCAGCACCAGTGTGGTGAGAGCTTGGGAGTGTGGAGGCAAAGCCTCACTTGTATGGGTTGAAGGACCCAGGAATCAGCCTGGAGTCCCCACCTGGATTGGAGGACCAGATCACCTCCTGGTCACCTCTTCTTGGGGGCCTCCACTACTGGCTAGCTTTTTTCCAGGGCTCACCCATCCCTCCACTCCTTTAGTGCCTTGAATCTCATTTGCAAGCAGCTCCTCTATCCTTTGCCCCCAAGTAATTTCCTCGCCCTCAATGTCTGCAAGACGGACATCAGATCCACCCCCACAGAACTGTCTAATGGTGCTGTCCAGGCGCCATCACTACATTGGGGTTGGTTTCTCCACACTCCCTCGTCTTCAGAATATAAAGGGTAGGGATTGAGACTGTCACATGTAGCCCCAGCACAGTGCGGGGCTGAGGCCTGCTTAATGTTAAAAATGACTACACTAGACCAAAGGGCATGCAGCAAATGAGGCATCAGTGTGGTTGGTTCAGATGTGAACCATGTCTCAGGGCAGACGCTGGAGCTGCTATGTTTAGTAAGTTGTATGTGCCTTGTAACACCCCCTGCCTGAGTACTTAGCCTCTGGCAGAAGGTGCTGGGGGTCAAGGAGGAACCCTACCTTCTGGTGCCTGCCCCCCTCTCTAGCCCACAGGCCCACCGGCCCACCGTCTGTGGGTTCCTTATCAACCATGCTTGCTTCTCCTAAGTTATTTATAAAGAGGAATCACTAATGGAGTCTGTGATCGAGTGCTGCTGAACTGGATGAGCGATTGCCTGTATGTTCGTGTAATTAATTGCCATTAATAAACGATGAGTTCCGTGGTGTGTCTCTGATGAGTTTGAGAATGGAAGATGCAGCTGTTTGTGGGGCAGTGGCTTGTGCAGCCTTTGTCTGCAAAGGGGCTTTCACCCAGACATGGCCACCTCTGGAGCTTTTGTGCACCCCCTCCCCCTGGGAGGAGGGTCTGGCTCTTTCTAGCATTTCCTTTTCCTCCCCTCCTCTTGGTTTTCCTTCCTTGCTGTTGATGGAGCTGCAAAGCTTGCTTTGTCTTGGGCTACATGCAAAGACGTCATCCCACAAGGGGGCGCCTGTGCCACAGCCCAGGTTGGGAAGTGAGTTTTCTGTCATACATTGGGCTGGCAGGAGAGCAGACTTTTGGGATGCAATTCATCCATTTCCTAATCTGGGATTGTGGAATGTGCTAGGAGGGGCGGGGGGTGCTAGCCTGGCTATGGGATCAAGTAGCCTGCTATGGACTATGCTGCGTCTCCTCAGTGGCCTTCCAAGGCTGCTAGAGTGGATATCCTGAGGCCTGGAAGGAGGTGGGAGACAGGTTCTGCCAGTCCCTCAAGTCAGTTTTCCACCTTTTCTTCCTGGCTATGTGACAGAGGCTGGCTGCCTGTGCAGAGGCTGAGGTGGTGAATCGCTGCATCATGGCATGTGTCTCCCAGGGTTCTAGCCCTTCCTAAGGAAGCCCCAGTTTTAAACAGGAAGGAGACCTTGGGAGAGGTGCAGTGACCAGCTTGCACATGGACATAGGACTTGGAGTTAGGTCCATGGGGTCTTGGGCTGCAGGACCCCTTCCCCATCTTTTTCTGATGCCAGAGTCCCCAGGATACGGCTGAGAGTCCCCACTCCATCTGTTTACTGCCCTTCGCCCATAGCTGTATTTGAGTTGCATTGCAAGAGTCCAAGGCTGGGAACATGGGACCCCAGGGAGAGCCAGATGATGGATGACACAGCTCTCTGGGATAAGCTGCAGATGCCACTGCAGCAGTCACATCACCTGCTTTGGACTGAGCCAGTGCGTGGTGGAGGCACAGGGCTGGCTTTTCTAAGGAAGGACTTGGAGAGCTGGGGAGTTTGGTCACTAGGAGGCACTCTGCTTCTTCCCATTGCATAGCTGATGTGGCAGCACATACCTGGAAATTGACCACATTTGCTGGACCACAGTGGGCCTCTTGCAGCACACCCACAAACCCTGCATTCAGATTAGAACCTGGAAGAAGCCTATCTTAGGACACCACTGGCTGGCATGGAGACCTTGGAAATGTCCCAGCTGGCATCTGCTCCATCCTGTACTCCTTACCCCCACCCCCATGGTTTGTGGCAGCATGGCACATTGAGGCTAGGCTAGTTGCCCACTCTGTGGGAGCTTCATGTCAGGCTTTTGGTTTTTTTGACCTACTGTGAGGAGAATGCACTAGAATCAGGTTGTCTACAGATGGCTGTTGGGAGCCTCTGTTATGCAAAGTCGAAGCCCCTTCACACCGGACAGCTCATGCAGCTCGGGAATTATGTGCTGCAGGCTCCTTTCATAGCGGGGTGTCTTCCTGGCATCTTTCCTGTCTCTCCTTTTGAAGTGTCTGCCACGAATGCCATAACATAAACATGGCCTTTGGCTCTAACAGGTACCATGCCTTCCTGTAATTTCTCCAGGCAGACAACAGTCTAGCAGTGTGGCAGAAATCCACTTCTATATGTAAATACAATGCCTCACAAAGCATCTAACAGCCAAAGCTTTTACCACTACCCCCATGGTATAAATGTCTTAGAGAATTGGGCTGCAGAGATTTGGGCTGCAGAGAACTGGGTCGCAGAGAGCTGGGACACAGGGAGCCGGGTCTCAGAGAATAAAGCTGTAACAGACTAAGACCTGAGTCTTGTGTCTGGGGGGGGGGCGCACTCCCTCGTGACCGGCTTAGGGACACCCTAGCTTTCGCCGTCTCCGTACTCTTCCCTGTGTGGTTCTGTGGCCAGGAACCTTGCATCCTAAAGAATAGTACACGGGTGAAATAGAGACGGGATTTCGGCTGAACAATGCTTCAGTAGCAGAGGCCTGCGCGCCACCCACCGCCGCTCCTGGAGCAGCCGTGGCCAGAGATGCCTGTGGCCAGACCCGCCCGCGACTAGCCAGGTGCGCGCAGGGACCCCGAGCTCCCAGAGAGCGCACCCCCCCATAGATGGCCTTGAAAGGTTGTCCAGTAACACGTAGGACATTGGGCAGGAATGTAGGGGACCCTGCAGTGGCCAGGTCTTGCTCTGCTCCAGTGTGCTCTGATGTAAAATGGAGACCCCAAGGTGGCCCAGGTCACAGCAGAGCAACCTTGATGGTCAAGGGCCATGTGTGCTGTGAGCTGCCCAGTGGAGGAGCAGTGCTCACCTGGAGTACTGTGGGTTGAGTCCACCAACTGAGGCTGGAACTTGACAGGGCCTTAAGGACTGAAATTATTCCTGTGGGGCTGTGTGACCAAACAGCAAGTCTTGCTGGAATGCACCATCTAGGCTAGTGTGTGTGTGTGTGCACGCACATGTGTGCATGCAGAGGCCAGAGCTTGATGTTGGGTTTTCCTCATTCTCCATCTTCAGCCATCCTCCTGACTTCAGCTGTGTCTCCTTGCAAGACAGCTGGGCTAATGACTCAACGTTCCCTTATAGAAGGGGGGTAGGGAGGGTTATGGGACTCTCACCTGAGTATCCAGCCACTCCTCCCAACCAGTTGTGTGCAGTTCTGCCCCAATTGCACGGGGTTTGAGGTGGGGCTGGAGGAATATATGGGCTGGGGAAGATTAGGAGATGCGGACTCCATCTGTGCAGCTGTGGGGAAGCTATCATCCGTGCTGGGTGCAGATTTCCCAGCATGGCTGCTTTGGGGTCACCCATGTTCTGTAAGTAAACCCAATAAACTTACTCCTCCCCAGGGGGAGCTTCTGTGGAATTGAACTTTGGCCTGATATTGGGACCTTAGAAGGAATGGTGGAGAATAAAGTTTGCCTAGTCTCCAGGTTGAAAATTCTCAGAACACATGGACAGGATGTGATAAAACCACAGATGAACTTGAGGGGAGCTCCGGCATTGCTCCTGCAGGAGGGAGGGGGATGAGACCAGCAGCTGAGACCACGCTGTCTGAGGGTGGAGGGTCTGCAGAAAATTTTGACCTGGCATCCATCTTCTGTGGCATATGGTGGCTACCTTTTAGGGTGGTAGCCGTGGCATGGGCAGTGCAGAAGGTTATGTCACTAAGGTGAGGCTACCCGAAGGTGGGGTGTCTGTGGGAAGAATCTGGGGTAGCAGTCTTCTAAATAGTATGGAGTGGCATGCCTGCTCAATGGGTGGGGTCTGCTCTATGAGTATGGAAATGTTTTGAGAACAGCTGAGGATCTAGAGGATCTAGAACAGATGTTATGATCCCTGAGAGCAGTGCCAGGGATGAGGGTGTCACAGAGGCTGCCTGGCTCCTGGTCTGTGCAGCAGGGATATAATATGTCTGAGGCCCAGAGGGCTGCCAGAGGGAGAGTGTATGTTTAAGGGAACATTACAGTGGTGAAAGACCAAGAGCAGGCATTCTCTGAGTCCCCGAGCAGACAGAAATATTGAATAAATGGGAGGAGATGGAGGTGTTGGCTTACAGCATCCTACCACTGGAGGGCCAGAGGGTAGAGAGAACAGCAATCAGATCTATGTTAAGGAGCCCCTCTGGGGAAGTGGTAGATAGTAGAGGAAAAAGACCTGAGGTAAAGGTGGTAGGAAAAGAATTGAGGAGAGAGGTGGCTCGGGATGCCTCCACCACGAATCAAGATAGGACTGTTAAGCAGGGAGTGGAGAAAGAGTTTGGAGCAGCATGGACTCCAGCATGGGGACAGAACTATAGGGGAGTTGATGATGAGTGCCCACTGCAGTGGAGGAAGGAGCCCTTGAGGAATGGAACCCCAACAGCCACTCTCCTAATGAGAGCCAGTGGCACCTGCAGGTGAGGACCATGCAGGGTTAGTGGATGCCGCACATTAAATGGCAAAATTGTTGGTTCTTAAAATATTCAGGTTTGGATGGATGCTGGGACCAGGTGTGTCTTGGTTCCCGGCAGCCCCCAAAACATCACAGGCAATCAGCATCAACTGAAAGAGGTAGAGCAGTGCAGGTGGAAACGATTAAGCTTGACCAAGGAGTGGGCAGCTGCCTCCCCTGAGTAAACTCTGTACATTTTTTTCTCCTGAGTGGTAAGATTGTTCTCCCAGCCAGGATCTCTTTTGGTGCCAAGGAATCACCAGCTCCAGTCCCTAATTGGCCACAGCCTTGATTGGCTGTTGGGCACAATCACAGGAGCCAGAGAGGGGTGCAACTGAGTGAGCCCATGTCCCACCTTGGCTTTATAGCTTCAGCTACCCCCACTGAGTCCAGAAGGTGGGGAAATGCATGGAGGTCACGAGAGTGCCCTGGGATGAAACAGCCTGATAATTGATAGGAACAGGTAGCATAGACCTTGCTAACGGTTTACTTTAGCATCTTCTTTAAAAAAAAAAAATGCTAAAGGCTGAAGAAGGGTGTCCCGTGGAGAGTGGAAACAGAGGTCGTCACCTCCCTGCGAGTTTTGGCCACAAAGGCCTGAGAGGCCCCTATGACAATAAAGGCTGTTGCCCTGCTGTTGGTGGCATTCCAGAACTAGATGGCAAGACCCGATTGCTGAAGACACCACATGCTCTGTCTGCAGGACTGGAAGAAATAAAGCTAGGACTGAACCAGACGTGTCCTCTCCCTCTGAGCTAGCCAGCTCCTGAGGTGCCAGCGGCTCCACTAAAATTGCTTGGGAGAGTTAAGGTCAAAAGACCTGCTCGGCCGTAGACCCTGCATGCTTCATAATGGGAATGTGAGGAGAGATGTATCTGCTAGTGCACTAATGGCACGAATGGTTATGGATCAACTTTCTGAATAGCCTTAAGGCCCACTCCATGGGGGAAATGGTACTGGGAACGTAGACAAAAACAGGACCCAGTGGAAAAGCAAGTGCTAGTGCTTTGTTAAAAACGATGTACAGGCTAGGGTGCGTCCTCACATTTGTGTTTACAATCATAGGTTATTACTGCAGCTAGTATCCATTTGGATATTTTTGTTTCCCATTTTCTTCCCTTTCATGTGTGTTTTGTAGAACGAATACCACCAAGACTTACCAACGGCCACGCTCTGGAGATGGAGCAATGAATGAGGGCACGAGGGTTCACCTTATTGGTGGAGAATAGTCAGACATCTGTTACCCCCTTTAAGGCTCAGACGTACTTATGGAGGAGGAGGTATGGAGAATGTAAGAGCTGGAGGAAGGGGTGGAGTGCTTTACAGAACTGTTCTCTGAGCCAAACAGATACCACCTTCATGAACTTGCAAAAGAAAGAAAGAAAAAAAAAAAGATGGGCTTGCTGACTCTTGACCTTCCCTCATGGAAAGAGGAGGGTAGCTATAGCTTAGTCCCCCACAGAGCAAAAATTCTCATAACATTCCACCTTACTTTTTGAGATAGGGTCTCTCACTGAACCTGGAGTTCACTTAGGTAGGCTAGCTAGCCAGGAGCTCTAGGAATGTGCATGTCTCAGCCTCCCCAGCCCTGGGATCACAAGGGCATGCATGCCACTGTGCCCAGCTTTTAAAACATGGGTGCTGGGGGTCTGAAATCAGGTCCTTACATTTGCATGACAAACATTTTACTGACTGAACCATCTCCCTAGTCCCAAGAAGTTTTCTAAAGACTTCTCCACTCTTTGGTATGGGTTTGTTATTGTTAAGTAGTTTGGGGACCACTGTATAGTGGGCAAACTAAAGAGCTTCTATCAAGAAAGGGAACAATGGGAGACACTATTTCCCTAGCAGCAACCTTTTAGCTCACTTTCAGGAGTTGCTTTACCCCACTAGGTATGGGTAGGCATGTGGTGGATCCTACTGGGTTCCTAGTGTGGTCAGTGGCAGATATGTAACCTGAGCTGTTAGAATTGAAGCCTAGGGTTAGAGAGATGGCTCAGTGATTGAGTACTGCTTTTGCAGAGGACTAGAGTTCAGTTCCCAGTACTCACATCTCATGACTCACAACTGTCTGTAACCAGCTCCAGGAGATCTGATGCCCTCTTCTGGACTCTATGGGCACCTGGGCACTCATGTGCACATTCCCCCACACATATAGTCATAAGTAAAAATAAAACTTGAGGCCTGGCGGTGGTGGTGGTGTGTTGCAGGGAGGGCAGAGTGCTCAGCAGGCTTCTAGAATGGGGGTACTTTAGTGCCCTCATCTTTTAGTGGCTCCTCTTCGCGTTTTTCAGAGTTGGCTGCTGTGGCTGGATCACGGATGCTCTGCAGCATCAGTGCCTAACTATCTGCTAACTATGTGCTTGGGAGATGAAGTGCCGAATAGTGGGAGAAACATGTCAGCTTGAGGTGGGTCACCATTCATGCTGCTTCCTTAGGGAGCCATGTGCTTCCTGAAGGCTTCATGACTCAGATAAAACTTGTCCTTGGGTTAGGCCTAGAAGATCCTGGTTAGATGCCCTCCCCTCACCCATAGTTAGGGAAACTGAGGCACCTCTGAATTTAGCTCCGTCTCAGATCTGAATAGTAGAGGAGGCTGTTTTAGTTGAGAATTAATTAAACCCACAGAACATACCCAGTTCTATTCTCTGACTCTTGAGGTTGAAGGTTAGCTGAAAGTTACCTGAACTGGTGACTTTGAATTGCTGTGAGGAATAAAAAGCCCAGTAGGTGAAGATTGGTTGGGTGCCCTTTGTGCTGGAGATGGTACCAGTGCCCTTGATAGCCAGTGGGCCCTGCTTCTGGACAGGATATCTTTGGATGAGGGGATGTGAGGTGTAGAAGGTGAAAGTTGGGGGGAATGAGCCACTCCTCCTTGGCAGGCAGGTTCTCAGCCGTGCAGACCTGTGACCATGGTAGGTGCTGAGGACTCGGCAGGTTTCTCTTCAGAAGGACCCACAGGATGGGGCCCTGGACACAAGAAGCCTGAGCACTCTAGTTCTTGGGAAGTAGAAAAAGCATTATTTACAAAGAACATACTAAAAACACACAAGAGAAATTGGCTCCCACACAGGTGTTTGCTGTCCTATCATTCTTCCCTGGCCTCAGAGTCCAAAAAGAAAGGCCAGTCTCATTGGTCACTGCTCCCCAGGGGATGGGGACCCCTCTGGATAATGGAGTCTATGCTTGGAAGGGTTGCTTGCTCCAAAGCTGTGTCTTTTGAGGGTCCACTCTTGGGGAAACCAGCCAAGCTGTCCTGGCCTTAGGGATAGAAGCTGCCCTGCTGCTTCATGGCCAAGGATCTTTTTGAAAGGACACTGACCTCTGTCCAAGTTCTGGCTGGGAGTGGAAATAGGGGTGTCATTCTAAGTGATGAATACAGAGCTTCCTCAGGACAGAGGATTTCTGCTTGGCCTCTGGTTGCTGGTTCCAAGTTCTGTGGGAGTGAAAAGGACACAAGTCAGAGTAGGGACACTGACACTATGGATGGGAATCAGGGAGGTGGGGATTGGGGCCCTGCCCTGGGCTCAGCTTGGGGCAGCTGCTGGTCTGTGCTAGGGAGTGTTCCTCTCTGCAGGAGGCACAGAGGCTCTGAAGGGTGTGATTTATCACAACCGCTTAGGGGGCTTTGTCTCTCTGTGTGTGTGTGTGTGTGTGTGTGTGTGTGTGTGTATGTGTGTGTGTGTGTGGTGTACAAGTGGCATTCAGAGGACAGCCTCAGGTGTCATTCTTGAGGTACCACTCTTCCTTTGAGACAGGGTTGTCACTGGCATGGAACTTTGTCAAGTAGACTAACAGTCTGGCCAGCAAACTTTAGTCTGCACCTCCCATTTCACTGTCACTGAGATTACAGGTGCATGCCATCGGGCCCAGCTTTTTACATTTCTGGGGCTCAAACTCAGGACCTCATGCTTGTGTTAGGGTTCAGATCTACAGCAACCCCCAATGCAGCAGGGCCTCATGGTTCTGCAGGGCCCCTGAGAATGCAGGAACTGAGTTAATGAGCACCCTGATTTTGGAGGACAAGATAAACAGACTCCACCTTTTGACCTGAGACCCAATTACTGCAAGGAGCCTTTCAGCACAGTCTGCTTCCCCTTTGATCTTGGAAGGCAAATAAGCCCCTGCACTCTGGATCCATTAATGTAGGAACCGTCTTGATATGAGCTATTTCCCCCTGATAAGTTTCACAATGTATAGATCCTTACCGCATAACCCAGATCCTGGCTGATGGAAGGGGACGGAAGGGGGCACTTTGACAGAGTATATTCTCTCCTGATAAGCCCTGGGCTCCCTCTCTTCTGCCTAATTTTTAAAAAATCTCTCCACAAGCCAGGCATGGTGGCCCACGCCTTTAATCCCAGCACTCGGGAAGCAGAGGCAGGCGGATCTCTGTGAGTTCAAGGCCAGCCTGGTCTACATAGTGAGTTCCAGGACAGCTGGGGCTACAAGGAGACCCTGTCTCAAAAAAGACCGAAAAAAAACCAAACCAAAACAAAAAAACTCCCCACCTTCTGCATCGCCCCCCAAAAACCCCCAGCCAGCAGTCAGCTTCTCTATCTCGAAGGAGATTGTCCCATATGCTTTCCTCTGCTAATAAACTATCCCACTGGAGTTTTGTCTGTGTCCTGGTGCTTTCTCCCAATTTGACCCTATTTACCTATCAGTAAGGCATGTGCTTTATTGATTGAGCTATCTCCCCAGTTTCCTTAAGGGTCTTTTTGAATGGACTTCTGCAATGGAACTTTACAGGACAGCTTTAAGATGGATTCTTCTGCAAATTGCCTGGGTGGCTCTCATCTAAACTGCTACTGCTTATTCTTTTAGAGACAGGGTCTTGCTGTGTATCCCTGGCTGGCCTGGGACTAGCTATATAGACTAGGCTCACCTTGTGACAATTTTTATGACCCTGCCACCTACGTGCTGGGATAACAGCATGCACCATTATGCCTGGTTTCCCTTTACATGAAGTAAGATGCTCAGTGCTACTGTTCATTCTGGACAGTGGAGATGCAGGATGCCGTGTCCCCACTTGGAGGTCCTGGGTGCCCAATACTAGGTGGGACAGGCTCACCTTTCACAGTCTCTGAGCCACTTGGAGATCATAGTCACTGTCTGAGGAGTTGTCAGGCTGAGTGGAGGAGCGATGAAGGGCCCCTTCCAGAGCTAGGGAGAAAAGAGGGCCAATTAAAGAAGCCCTGGAAGCTACACAAAGCTGAGTGGGTTGCAAGATCACAGAGGCTCTCTGAGCTGGTGACAGCCCTGTATCGGTTTTGATCAGATTGGCCAAGTGTTAGCTAATGATGCTGAATTCCAGACCCCCTGGGGTTTAATTGTGAGTGCCAGTAAGGAGCCTTAGGTACTTGGCTCCTGCAGCCACTTAATGGCTCTGTCCTGGCTCAGAGAAAGGCCCCCCAGCTCATTTACCATCCAGCCCTTCAAGGCCTGCAGCAAACAGGCCCATTAGATCACAGCAAGGCTGGGGTTAATGATGGCCATCCAGCAGAAGCATTCTTTCTAGATAAGTGGTTCAAGGTCTCCAAGGGACAGTGGAAGCCTGTGAAGGCAGTATCCCTGCCTCTGTCCTGCTGGGACCTGCTGTTAAGCAGGCATATTCATCCCCGACCCCCCCTTTTCCCTCAGGACAAGCAAAGAACATGATCCCCTCCCTTGCTGCCCAACCCCCACACCCCCCACACTCACCGGGATAAGCCGACAGGTGGGAGTTCCTGGGAGGCTGGCTGTATTCGTTGTTTTCTGCATGGGAGACTGTGGGGTTCTCTACCTGGGACCTCACAGTCGCTGTGTGGTTTCGATGGAAAGACACTAAGCAGACACAGGAGGCCAATGGCATTGTTAGAATGGCGGCTCTGTCCTTCCCTAGCAGGATCCCAGAACTTAACTTCCTGTTCCCATGTGGGAGGGGGCATGCACTTCCTCTTCCTTTCTCCCTGGGGGAGGTTCTAGCTAGCCAGGGTCAGTCTCAGACTTTTAAAAGCGCAATCTGATTGACCAGGTGAAGCCACCAGTTGCCCTATCAGGAGTTGAGGACCTTTGCGTTATTTAAAACAAAACAGAGAACCTTCTAGAAAGAAGGTCCTGGACATAGAGATGGGAGAGGAATGGGGTTGCAGAGGGAAGACATACTTCTGTTGATTAGTGTGGCTCTGGTCCTGGCTGACAGGACAATGAAGACCAGGGGAGAGGTTGGGCTGCCTGCTTCAGAATATTCTAAAATGCCCTTTGAAGTTGTTCTGTGCAAAAACTAGCTTGGCCAATGCTTTGTAATACCTCTTTGCCCACAAAAGTTCTGATAAGTCCTGAAGTAAAGAACTGCACGTAGCTTTGCTTAACCCAGATTTATTTGACCACAGGACAATCCCCATCAGCATCTGCCCTCACACTGGGGAAGGGCTGCTCTGGAGGTATAGACTGTGGGGACCTCTGAGGCTTAAGAGGCAAAACCCACAGAGCCACCTGCCCAGAGAAGCCTCCTCTTTCCCTGGTGTGGGGACATCTGTTGGCCACAATCACATCTTTGCGAAGTGTGGTGGAGATCAGAGGTCTCCAACAACCTCCAGTTCTCTATGATCAGCAGAGATGTTGACCCTGCCTCGTGGCCTGAGACCTGGGGCTGCTGAGGGGAACCTGGCCTCTGGGGATACTTACTGCTTTGGTTCACTCCTGTGGGCCCAATCCACTGGCGCTGCTTCTTCTGGCGGACTGGCAACAGACAAGACGTTCATGAGGGTGGGATGGTGAGGGGGAGGTGGATCTCAAGGGGATGGGTACAGTACAGATGCCCTGAAGGCAGGACTGCTAGCGGATGCCCCTCCAGTCTTTGTGCCTCAGTTTCCTGACTAAGAAGGGGTATTAGAGCCATTGGATGCAGAGAATATGACTGGGTGCTCATAGGAATGACCCACAGGGTTTAGTCAGAACCAGACTTCAGACCCTAGAGAGCATGAAGGACCCACACTGTACACCTCTGTTGACCATCATCTGCCTTCCTTGCCTCTGAATAATCTTTCCTAAGTTCTGAAAGGCCAGGCAGATAAGTCTTCATGTTCATAAAGTGTGTAGCAGTCCATTCAGCAAATGGAGAAACAGACTCAGATAGAGGAAGTGGACCAGTCAGTGTCACTAGCAGGTGTTAGTATGTGGTGGAGCTGGGCTTGAATTGTCTTTTGGTATTAAAGCCATGCTGATGTCTCATGGCTGTGACTTTATCAACTGTAGAGGGCCTCAGCTGGGCCCAGATGCAGGCGAATCAGAGGGGAATCAGAGGGTATGATGTCCCTGACTTTCTGTTTCTTTGGGCAGAAAAGGCCAGTGAGCAGCAGTAGGGGCTGAGTGATAAATAGGGAGGGAGTCTTGGGGTTTGGCACCTACATTTCTTCACCAACTTCTTGTAGACCAGAGGCCCGCACATGACCAGTAACACCACCACGAGTACAAGGGTCAGGATGATGCTTGCCACAGTGCCTGGGGCCAGGCCTGCTGGGTTTGGGTCCTGGCCTGAGCAAAAGGAGGCTTAGATCAGTCCAGCCCTGGAGGCAAGCTGTCCATTCATGTTCCTGCCTGGCTTCCCCTGGTACCACTGCTCCTCCCACAAACCCACCAGCATGTGCAGAAGCATGTGTCTTCTTGGCTGTCCCTCTGTTCGTCTCTAGGAGTCTCTGCTACCTGTTTGTCTACTTACCAGTTATCTACAGTGATCATCATTTGCCCCTCTTGTTATCAGCTATTAACTTTTTTCCATTTGTTAGTTATGATTGATCAACTTCCCATCATATTACCATAAAGAAGATGACCATATATGACTATACATCAGGAAACCAACCAGCCCTATATATATTCACCCACCTACCCATTATCCATTTATTCATCTCCCCACTTGTTCATCCATCCCCCACTCATCCATCCACCCTCCCATCTTCCTATCCATCTATCCATCTCCCTATCCATCTCATCCATCTCATCCATCTCATTCATCCATCCATCCATCCATCCATCCATCCATCCATCCATCCATCCATCCATCCATCCATCCATCCATCCATCCATCCATCCATCCACCCACCCATCTCCCTACCTATACATTCATCCATCCATCTCCCCATCCATTAAACTATCCATATACATACTGATGCATCCATCCATCCTCATCTCCCTATCCATCTATCCATCTATCCTCCTATCTCCATCCATCCATCCATCCAGTCAGCCAGCCACCCAGCCAGCTGTCCCTTTGATCCATCTGCATACTGGATGATCCATCTATCCATCCACCCACCCATCTCTTTATCCATCCATTCACCTACATACCCATCCATCTGCCCACCCACTGATTCATTCATCCATTTATTTCCCCATTTATCCAACCATCCATCTCCCCTTCTATCTACTTACCCACTCATCTATCTACGTACATACATATGTATGGGCCTACTTACCCAACCACCCAGTCATCCATCCAGGCACCCATCTCTCTTTTATCAGTAATTCAGTCACCAATCATGTAGCAAATATATCTCACCCACTCTCTGATTTTCTAGCTTGTGTCCTGGCAGAGGAGAAGTTAGAAGGGAGAGCTCTGGCTTCTGTTAGCTGCCTGACAGCAATCTGCTGGGGCCTTGCCTGGTCTCTCTGTTCATCCTCATCATTGTTGACTCCTGTTCCCAGAATCTCACTGTCCCTTTTCCAGAAACTCTTATCTACCTCCTGGGACCTTTCCTTCGGAGGCACTCACCAACTGAGTGCCAAGAGAAAAAGTCTGTAACTGCCCTCTACCTTCTGTGGGCTGTGGTCAACTCACATGTGACGAACACCCTCTTGCAGTAGGATTTTTTCTGAGGTTGGTAACACTGAGACAGCTTTTCCTGGGGACAGATGAGCCCGGAGGATGTCTGACCCACATCCATTACGTGGAAGGAAATGAGGCTGCCACATTGCTGCTCCTGGCATAGTTCCTCCCACCGTGCCCGGCTCCTGGCTGCAGAGCTGTCACATAGGGCTGCCCACTGTGATGCCTGGCGCACTTCCGCGATGCCCTCACATATACTGCTGGCCCCCACCAGGCGACTCTGCACCTTGGGCTGGAAACCTGGGGGAGAGAAGCGATGATGAAGTGGTAGACCTGGCCCCATCATGTCCTCCGACCATGCTCTGGTCCTTGGGGTGTCTGGGCAGTTGGTGGTCCCAAGATGCAGTGGCAAAGAAGCTAGCAGGCTGGCCATGCCTGTTGGCATCCACTGGCAGGGAGAAGCAACCTCTCATTCTTTTGTTGTTTTTTTTGGAAGAGGGAGGGCTTTTCATAAAGGGGAAACCAAGGCCTGGGGATAGAGAAGGCGGTGCATGTCATGGTTGGGACAGAACCTAGGAATCTTGTTGTCCTACCTGGTCGTGCCCTATGGCCCAGGCTTTTGGCAATGAGGCCTAGCACTCAGAGAGGTATTTATGTCTGCAAGCCAAGGTAGAGCCTGGGAGTCTGTGGCAGAGGCTGCTATGCTGGGTTTAAAGTGAGTTGTGAGCTCACCAGCTTTGGTTAGTTTTCATGGCAACACCCACCTTCAAAGCCCTAGTGAATCTCTTATTTAGCCTGCAGAAGAGTTCATAGATGAAGGGCAAGAGTGGCTGGAGCCAGCCATGCCCCACTGGCAATCAGACCCAGAGACACTTGAGGGCTGCTCCTGTCTGGAGGAGGCAGCATGTGACTAATTTACATCAGGTTTAAAGTGGGGTGGGCTGTCCTGCTTGTGGACCTAGAGGGCCAGAGCCATGATTCTGCACTGGATTTCTGGGGACCTGCTGAAACCAATTATGATTAGGAGAGTAGGCGAGTGGGAGGGAGACGGGGAGGTGCCTGTCCAGGACTACACTTTGAGTGACCTAGGCTTAGGAAACAGGCTGTGGATTAACACTGCTTAGGGGTAAATCCTAGCTAGTACTCTGTGATACTGGTGGAGAAGTTGAGCCTTTTAGAGCCTCAGCTTCTGGGTCCACAAAGAGGTTAACAGTAGCTCCCACCTCTTAGAGTGGTGATGAAACTGAAGGATACACAGCACCAGATAACCTGCTATAAACAAAGTCCAGACTGCATCCAGGTACTTCCAGTGATGTGGAGGACCCAGGCAGAGCATCCTCTTAGGGGCTGGCTCTACAGCTGTGTGCTCTGAGCCCTAGGCCTGAAGGACCTCCCGCCCCTCACCAACCCTCCAGCCTCCTTTCTGAGAATTCATAAACAACCCCTGGCAAAGCCCACTCCTTCAATTGCCTCATCCTCAATCTCCTTGGCTCTACCAGACACAAGAGGAAGCCCACATCCTCCTAGGATCCCTGCCAACTCCACTTCTCCAAGTGGCCAGTATTCCTCTGGATTGGGTGGAACTTGCTTTACAGATGTTCAAGGCCCTGAGAGGGAATCTTCTACACCTGACCCATCCCACCTCTTGGAGGATATGGGCTCAGGCCTCAACTTTCTTTTCGTCTCCATTGGGCCTCATTGTAGCCTGACCATCTATCTGATCAGGATCCCTCCCACCCCTGAGGTAGCAGACGGCCAGATGGCACGTGGTTCTTTCTCACTCACCTGAGCAGATGACATTGAGCATGTGGCCGCCCTCCTGGGCCTGGGTTTTCTGGAAGCACTGATCCAGGGAGGCACAGCTCCAGTTCCGGACCTCCCACCGAATTGGCAAGAGCCTGGAGTCTCTCAGCTCTCCCAGGTCTGCTGCCTCTCGGCCCGATAGATGTGTCAGGAAGGACCCACACTGGAGGGTATTGCAGATGAGGTTCCCCAGGCCCTGGGGGCTGTCCTGAGCCTTGTAGAGGATGGTGCCACCCTGGCTACCACTGTAGAACACCACCATGCCAGTGCACTGCAGGCCCCCATGTCCGGCCACCAGCTGCAGTCTAGGAGGAACTGGAGGTGGGGAGGCAGGTTTGAATGCCTTCCAACAAGCCTTGTTGCTAAGCCCCAACAGATGAATGAATGCTTACGATTGACCTTGCGGGGTGAGGAGTCCCAAACATTACACAGGACATCCTGGAATCTTTCCCACTGGAATTCAAATGTAACTTGGTCCCCTGGGTTTGGTTTTTCTTTTTGTGACCCAATGAGAGTTATTTGTGGGAGGGTGGGTGTCTTTGCAGTGGCTAGACAGTGGCAGTGGTCTCTGCCTTCCCCAGCATATTGCTTAGACATACTCAGGGAGGGGTGGGGCCTCCCCAGTCCCTCTCCTCTCCATGAAGGAATATTGCCAAGCCCAATCTTGCACAGGCTGTGATGGCTCCAGAGTTCAAGAGTGCAGTGGTCACAGGCTTTGCCCAGGGTTTTAAATTTTATTTAAATTTTTTTTACGTGTATGAGTGTTTTGCCTTCATGTATACAAGTGTATTTATGCATGCAATGCCTACAGAGGCCAGAAGAAGGCATTGGCTCCCCAAGAACTGGAGTTACAGTTGTGAGCTGCGATGTGGGTTCTGGGAACCAAACCCAGGCCCTCTGCAAAAGCAGCCGGTGCCCTTAACCACTGAGCCATCTCTCCAGCACCTGGATTTTTGTTCTCTGCATCAGCTATTTCCTTCCTCTGTCATCCGTGAGGCCTGAGAATCAGCTTACCTGTGGTGGTGGGTAGGGTGCTTGTGGATGGAGGCATCGTCCTCTGGGGCTCTGAAATGAAACACTCAGATGAAGGTAGAAAGCGGAGGAGGAGGGCACTGTGATAGTGAGAAGACATAGCTCACGATCTAAGTGCCACTTGCCAATTACCTGACTTGCTTTCCTCCCCTACCCCATTTCTCAGTGCTCAGTGAGGTGGCAGTCCCACACATCACAGATGGGAAAATGGAGGTTCATAGGACAGTGAACTTAGCACTTGGCAGAGAAAGGTCCTGCTTTTATATCCTGACAGACAGATGCAGTGCCCTAGCCCCCCGCCCCGCCCCCCCCAGCATCTATCAGGACATTATAAGCTGGAAACCCCTTTCCCTCAACCTGCCCTCCCAGGCCCTAGTCCAGGATACCATGTGACTTAACCTACCTTGGCAGACCAGGCCTAGTGGGAGGCAACTGGCCTGTGAGATTGGAGTGCAGTTGGAGAAAGACCACAGGGGTCCATGGCAGATGATCTGGTTCTGGGGTCTATTGAACGAAGGGAAGGAGATGAGAGCCAAGGGGCCCCCACATCCCACCTGCTGGCAGATTTTTTCCGAGGTTGGACCGAGTTTCCCCCATTCATTTTGGCTCCAGCCCCAACTGGAACTGCACAAGGTGTGCCTCAGGCTTTCTTTCTGGATCTCCAGGTTGCCCTGGCACTTGGAGTTGGAGCCATTTAGCATCACCTGATAACCTGGGGGGTCAAAGAGATAGCGAGAGGGGTCAGATAGGTGAGAGAGAAAGAGCCAGCTCCCCCTGGCCTCTTCTGAGCGTCCTCCTTGCTGGGGCACTGCAGAGGCTTCCTACAGTCTCAGGCCTGGCACCTTGGAAGCCTTGTGCTGCAACTCAGATTTCAGAGCTTAGAGGGGCCTTGGGGCTGTGGACAAGATATTCTCACATCTGCCCAGCAGAATTCTGGAAGTTCTGTTTCAGTAGGTCCAAGGTAGGGCCTGATATCGTATGTGTGTGTGTATGCAGATGTGTGTGCACATATCTGCCCATGCTTGTAGAGGCCAGAGGTCAACCTTAGGTGTCATTCCTCAGGGGCCATCCACATTGTTTTTTTTTTTTTTTTTTGTTTTTTTGTTAGGTTTTTGACTGCTAATAGGCGGTGGATAATTGATGGAAAGTATCCTAGCAGTGTGGTGAATTTGTGTGTGGGGGTAGGTGATTTGTGTTTGTCTACCACCTCTGGCAG